TTCGGCTGCCAACTTTTCTCTCTCCAGCTCCAACTTCAATTGCTGATCTCTTTCTTCTTTCAGCTGTCGCTCCTTTGCCTCTCTTTCTTCTTTCGCCCTTTCCGCTGCCAGCTTTTCTCTCTCCAACTCCAACTTTAATTGTTGCTCTCTTTCTTCCTTGGACCTCTCAGCTGCCAACCTCTCTGTCTCCAACTCAGCTGCTTTTTCTTCCTTGGCTCTCTCTTTTTCTTCTTTTTCCTTCTGGGTGACCCACTTCCGTAGTTCGGCGCCAGAAAGACCCATCTTATCACCAAGAGCGACTAACTTTTCGAGATCCATTGTGTCTTGCCAATAAAACCTTCCCGCGTGCAAAAAAATATCTGCCTAAATCAGTAAATCGGAACACTCCCCTGCACTCGTTAACGAGAACACTGAGCAACACACAAAATCGTTCCGATAGCACTATCAACAACTCGAGGCTCTTTCTCACTCCTTTGGACACACTGTGCACCAAAAAAGTCCTGTCGCGGAAGCCAGATTAATTGTCACTGGTCCCGTTAATTAGGGAGGCGATCGCCGGGCTAATTCCAAGCGCCGAAGTATCGGCCCCCCGAACCGCACCACGAAAGCGTGGACAATTTAGAAGTGGTCCTATTTGGCGCGCCAGCGGACGCCGGCTGTGGCCCAAAGAACAAGTCAGAGCCGAGAGTCGATAAACAAAACAAAATTATATTCTCAGTTATGGCAGATCCAAAACAATACACAAGTATGCACACTCGACAATAGTGGAATACAATATGACACCAATCAAACAATGTAATACACAGTACAATCAGCCACACTCGAAACAACGGACACGCACTACAATGCAGCCGCATGCATCGAACAACCAAGACACTTAAAGACTAAAGAGTTAGAAAACTTATTCAGTCCAAAGTTCTTGGAACAAAAGTCTGAATGATACTCTTCCGAGAATCACTCACTCAAAGTCCAGCGTTGTTGTCGTTCCGCTGTCCCCGAACTTTCCCTTCCAGGAAACCTCGCGTCTTCACTTGGCCGCTCTCCAAGCTTCAAACCTTCTTCGCCGTAAACACGTCGGCTTCCCACACGCAACTGTTGCCACGCGTCTTCGCTCACTAGCGGTAGACACACACTCTTGCCTGTAGCTCGAGCCTTCACCCCTCAGGTGGAAATCCTCCTCTTCTCCTCCTTTGTCACGGAAGACAAAAGGCTTCGCCCACACGGCGGAACACCCTACGCACTCTGGCGCATACTTTCTTCTTCTCCTGCTTTGTCACTAAGGACAAAACCTTCACCGACAGACGCGGCGGGATACCCTACGCACTCTGGCGTTAACTTCCTTCTTCTGCTGCTTTGTCACTAAGGACAAAACCTTCGCCGACAGATACGGCGGAATACCCCACGCACTCTGGCGTTAACTTCCTTCTTCTGCTGATCTCCCCATCTCCGCTGCTCGGTTAAATACCTTCCGCGCGCGATTCCAGAAAAATTCTCATCATTTCGTCGGCGCGATGCGCAGCGAAGGCTGTGGGAAAGCGCGAGACAGTACGACGGCCGTCCGCGACGGATGACGCAACCCGGCATCACCACGCCCCTTTCCATCGAGAAATTTCCAGGGCTTGCTCGGCCGCCGATGTGGGGTGAGGAGGTTCGTCGGCGAACCTACGCTTCCGAGGGGAGAGGGACGCGTGCCCGGGGAGTCTTTGGATGCTTGTTTTCTTTTTTTTATCGTTGACCTCGCGGCGTCACTCCGGCGTTTCGTCGCGAGAATTTGGCGGCGCGCCCTTTTTTGAGCGCTCGTTTTGTGACACTCGAAGAGTCCTCCATACGGGAGACAAGGGCTTTCGAGGGTCTAGCGAGTCACAAAAATTCTTCCACCGTTGTTCTTGAAGTTTGTGCATTCGACGCTGGATTTTTTTTCTGAATGCATCTGGATTCTCTGAGGTCAGAGATAGATTTCGTGCGTCTGTATCATCTTTCGGCACGTAGGCGGACCGCTCAAAGTTGTTCCAATTCTTGGTTGAGTGCCGTGCGTCTCGATTCTTTCGAACATATCTTCGTGGAAGTCCCCATTGCACAACTAATCACTTCTTCAATGGATTCCGGCGGTTCGTGCATGCACTTGCTCTCCACTGATATCTGAAACTCTTCCCAGTCAATAAGCCTTGAATGTCCAGGGGAAGGAGAATTGTCCAGACCTCTGACTGTCACGTACGTGGGGATATGGTCGCTGCCATGTGTTTCAATATCTGTGAACCATTGGACTTTCGTGACAACGCTATGCGACACTAATGTCAAGTCCAGGCAACTGCTGTAAGATACTCCTCGGAGATAAATAGGGCAGCCGTCGTTCAGCCCCTGAAGCCCGTGCTCTGATGCGAGATCAACTAGGTTCATGCCTTTTAGATTTGTCCTGATGCTTCCCCACAATGGATGGTGGGCGTTGAAGTCACCCATCAATATCCAAGGTGCTGGAGTCGTTGCAAATATACCATTTAATATCTGCTGATCTAGTCGACGTGACGGCGCTATATATGCGCCTATCAGCGTAAACGACAACTTCTTCTTTTTAACATATAGACACACGTAGTGATTTCCATTGTGAGACTCTACTCTTTGGAGAACGTAAGTGAGTTCTTTACGGATGTACACAGCCACTTGACTTCGCTCAATGCATGATGAAGAAACGAACGATTCATAGCCCGACAGTCGAGGTATTTTTGAAAATGGCGGTTCGCAAATGATGATGATGGGAAACTTATTTTCGAAAATGAATTTTCTGAACTCAGGCATTCTTGACTGTAGACCTCTTGCGTTCCACTGAATTATGGAATCACGCTTGACTTTTTCTCAAAAAGGCTGATGTGGTCTATGGTGCACCATCTTGTTACTGAAGTCCAGCAAGAACTGGTTCTAGTGTGTCCAAGATTTGCAGCGCGCATTTAGCGGCAGGGATCTGTAGACTATCCAATAGAGTGCGAATAACACTCATGAACGACCTCAATACAGAAAAGACTTGTACCTCTTGGGCGGACAGACTGCCTGCTGGGGGCATATCCGTTGTTGACCGTCGATATTGTGGTTCTTTAGAGAAGAGGACGACGACGAAGTGTATTTCTGCCGAACGCTGCCTATTTCGTTTGGTGTTTTTTTTTGTGTGATTTTACAATTTATCCGAGGAATGAAAGCAGAAAAGTATAAAAGATGTTTACGCTGGCCATTCTCATGTTTCATCGTGTTTAATTGCACTGTGGTTATTAGAATAAAAAGGGGCTATTAGCAAAATCTCCAGGGCTGGCGGAATGAAATGTAGAAGAGTGAGCAGGCAAACGGACAAGTATGAAAACAAATTTGTGCTTGTGATAGGGGACGTCCCAAAAGTGTCTGGAAAATGCTTTTTTAAGTATTGCTGGAACAAACAGCGGTGTGTATCTCGGCAGTTAGAAACTACAATCACCAGATTACGATGCAGAATTCCGCATCTGAATTACTACCTACATAAAGCTGGACTAACAGCATCTCCGTTGTGTCTATTTTGCAAAGAATCGGAATCAATAGATCATTTCTCTTTATCCTGTCAACGTTATGCTTATGAAAGGAAAAGATACCTGGTCGAACCAATTGAGAAGTTAGGTTTAAAAATAAACGTGGAACTAATTTTATCCTTCGGAGGGATTACATTAGGTTATAGCCACAGGGAGGTTTTCTCTGCTGTGTGCGAGTACATAAGGGCAACAAAGAGATTACCTTGTTAGCCTATTGTTATTATTTACAGCTACGAGACTACCTGAATGCCTGACTGAACACACTTGATGATCCTGCTGCCCGGTTCTTGGCCGATACCCTTTTGTGGGCGAGTGCCAGCAAAGCCGAAGGTTCATCATCATCATCATTAAGAGTACTACAATATTACGACGATATAACATGTCGTATTGCGAATTCTTATACAGTATGCGTGTGTTTGTAAACCATAGAGGCTATTTGGACAGCATTTCCAAGCACTGAGGACGTTATTTTCACCCTACTTTTAAGCAGATGCCTGAATGCGTGGTAGGACACCTGCTTACCACGCAAACGTTCTGGGTTTGATTCTCACTCAAACCCGCTAATTTTAGGGGCGAAGCTCCTTGCGGTCGAGGATTGTCTGTTTTTGTTAGCGTTGTGTGCTGTAGCCGTCGTTTTGGATGACGACGACGCTGACGAAGATGAAAAAGAAGTAGATGATGATCACGGAGAACGACTGGCTTAAGCAGTAGATGACATCTGAATATGCTCTACAATGCGTTTTATATGATTGTAAACAATCAACAACCACAGGGGGAACATGTCCAGACGTCTTATGTGCCAACTTCAAGCTCGATCCCATACCACAAGGCAGTAATAATGAAAGCTAAACGACATTCACAACTTTAACACAACATAGCAGTTACGACCAATATACATTGCACATAACTGTACACCGCTTTGTCACTCATTTACATGCGTTAGTGGTGAATGTCACGGGTGATTTACAGTAACACCGAGGATGCCACCGCTTCGCCCACTCATCATCATTGACTTCGTGTGTATGCCGTGATTTCCTACTATTTACTTCATTTGCATATTTCGTGATTTCTTGGTCACGGACAAGATCATGATTTTTCACTCACAGCCAACTACGCCCATGCCGACACCTAAATTTCTGCGAATCGAGCTCTTTGACACAACCGCGTTAAAGCTTCCCGATTCGAGACCCACGCCTGTCAGTGGGTATTCGCCAAGTGTGAGGAGAGGAAAAAATTTTAAAAAAATCAAACATGGACACCTGACGGAGACTACTCCGTCGCTGGCGACTACTCGTAGGAGCCCACCGATTGGTCATTTCAAAATTCTGCGCCGCTCGTCATGTGACAGCTCGGAAACTGAGCCACTCTCTCGGCACACGCAGCTCAAAATTCAACGCAGCCGCTTACACAACAGCTACCAGAGAAGTCCTCGAGAATCGACGTTCAGCATTCGCGATGGTAACCGGTAAGTGTTTTCTAGACTTTTCTTTTGTTTCAATTAATATTACCTTAACTTATTGTGCGGTTAGTTTGCCTTCTTGCCGTGGTGCCCCGCTTATTCTCGAGAAACACCGCGCCGCTGATACCAGGAAAATTGAAACAATTGAAACCCCTTTGGCCTTGATAAGTCATGTTCGTTGAAAACATCCCCATGGAGACATTTTATATGACACGTGTAACACATATCCACTGATTGGTTCTATAAATCGCACAGCACTTTTTTATTCGTCTTATATACTGTCGTTGAATGTGTTGCATATCTGAGATTTTTTTGTGTGTGCTTGGGCTTATAACGCACAGCTTGCATCTTCAGCAGCAGTAGTGGCTGGAAGAAATTTGAAGCCGAAGAGCATCAGCCCATTCGAGACTTTTCTGCCTAATTACTAACTGTATATACCTATAGACCTAGAAATTTGATGGTTTTAAGTCATGACGTTTAGTCTCGAAATGAACTAGAATCTTTACAGATGCGCCGGTCAGTACATAATAGGGTCTTCTGTAACAAACAGTATTTACCAGAAGCGATACGTGGAAACATTTCAAACTTGTTTTGCATAGCCTGAGAAGGAACGTTATAAACGACAGTGTAATATGGCAAGATGTTGACAATAACGTGTTTTGCATTTTGCATGATTGCGTGGTTAGCCGACGCGTCCGGCCGCATTCAATGCTATGGTCAAAATTTTATAATTTCATCACTCTTCTAAAATATACAAAATCAACTTGCTTCCCTGTGTCAGTGAGGAAAAGAATTGTATATCGTCATGGCTCGGCGCCAAACACGACAGACGAGATCATTTTTCATCATTCTGCAGGTCTACGACCCCTTCTGGGCGTACTGTTCCTGACCCTGGCTGTCACCACCTTGCCCACCGCCTCGGCCCACAATGGCAAACAAATCAACAAGACTGAAATCGTCAACACGACACTCGGTCCGGTACAAGGCTTCCGTGAAGTAAGGAATTGTCATTGTGCTGCGTTCCAGTTTGCGACATCGTTCAATGATGTTGGTTAGTAGCTAGGACACTAAACAGAGAAACGATGGCTTGCGTATGAGTAAAGTACAATTCCCCCTTCCGAAAACTACCCTCTTACCGGGAGATGGTGAACACGGGAATAGAGAATGCGGCTTGAGACGCCACATTAAGATTACCGCACCAAACACTGCTAAGGCCCGTATTCACAAACGCTCCTTCACTCAAGGGCTCCCCTCGACTTGACGAAGTCAAGGTGGGGCGTGCTCCTCCACTCAAGGGGCCGCTGCGTTTCATGAACGCTCCTCCACACTTCCTTCGCCAAGGGAGGCCTTGGAAATGCTCCCTTCATTTGAGTGAACTGCATGCGCCGAGAAAAGCGCCTGATAACGAGAGTATTCGCAATTGTGGTTAAGAAATGCCTATCTATGTACATTAAGAGAACGCCTTTTCTAGTTATTCTTTTTTCTAAATTGACATTACAGCAAAATACGTGCAGTTAGAGTGGTAGTGTTGTTTCCCTAAGCCTTGTGCTGATAGAGTTAGCGAAACCCTCCTTCATGTCTGGCAACAGTCGAACCCAGGCAGCTGAACGAACAGCTGATGGCATTTCGTCTGCTGCTGAACGTGTCTACCTGCTTAGTTTATTTTGTCTTGTATGCGTCTATTAATTGCAGTTTATATTTATGGTAGTGTTTGCGTGTGTGTCGTTTGAGAGCCTACTTTCGCCGGGGTGACTATCGAACTACGTGAGTGATGACAGGAAGCGCAATAGATGGTTTGTTGCTTTGTTTACTTTCGCTTTACTGAGAGCCTTCTGATCACTAATGTAGCCACCGAATGTATAACGCGGTGGAATGAGTATTCTTTACTATATATCAGAGTATGTTAGCGTGCTTTTAACATTCACAACCGCATTATGTATAAGGATTACTCGTACGTAAGTTCGTTCTCGCTACGGGAGTACGTGCACAGTTCCTAATTTCAGGGGCCTGTGCAATGTTTATTTTTCTCATTTACTGCGAATTTCACCGTGGCGCTTTCGTAGTTGCTCCTCTGCGTATAATAGGAAATTTGAAAGACATTGCTCGCAACTGATATTCAAGGTTCTACCAGGGTAGCGTTAAAAACTAGGCATGTTATACTCGTGGCTGAGAGTTCGAATTAGACTGCTACGCAAGACTGCTACGCCTTTCTTTCACTATTGGCCAAAAATACATTTTAAAGCTGTTTTCTTCATTTAGTAACATATATAGTCGGTTTACCTATTTACCGCGTGCTTACACGAGGTTTTCAGAAGCCTAGAATGGGAGCAGTTAGGGATAAGAGTCAACGGAGAATACCTTAGTAACCTGCGCTTCGCCGATGACATTGCATTGCTGAGTAACTCGGGGGACGAATTGCAACTCATGATTACAGAGTTAGACAAGGAGAGCAGAAAGGTGGGTCTTAAAATTAATCTGCAGAAAACGAAAGTAATGTACAACAACCTCGGCAAGGAGCAGCGCTTCGAGATAGGTAATAGTGCACTTGAAGTTGTAAAAGACTATGTCTACTTAGGGCAGGTAATAACCGCAGAGCCGAACCACGAGATTGAAGTAACTAGAAGAATAAGAATGGGGTGGAGCACATTCGGCAAGCACTCCCAAATTATGACAGGTAGATTGCCACTATCCCTCAAGAGGAAGGTATATAACAGCTGTATCTTGCCGGTACTTAGCTACGGAGCAGAAACCTGGAGACTTACAAAGAGGGTTCAGCTTAAATTGAGGACGACGCAGCGAGCAATGGAAAGAAAAATGGTAGGTGTAACCTTAAGAGACAAGAAGAGAGCAGAGTGGATTAGGGAACAAACGGGGGTTAAGGATATCATAGCTGAAATCAAGATGAAGAAATGGACATGGGCAGGGCATGTAGCGCGTAGACAGGATAACCGCTGGTCATTAAGGGTAACTGACTGGATTCCCAGAGAAGGGAAGCGGGTTAGGGGGAGACAGAAGGTTAGGTGGGCAGATGAGATTAAGAAGTTTGCGGGTATAAATTGGCAGCAGCAAGCACAGGACCGGGTTAACTGGCGGAACATGGGAGAGGCCTTTGTCCTGCAGTGGACGTAGTCAGGCTGATGATGATAGTCGGTTAACAGGGACTGGTGTGTGTGTGTGTGTGTGTGTGTGTGTGTGTGTGTGTGTGTGTGTGTGTGTGTGTGTGTGTGTGTGTGTGTGTGTGCGTGTGCGTGCGTGTGTGTGTGTGTGTGTGTGTGTGTGTGTGTGTGTGTGTGTGTGTGTGTGTGTGTGTGTGTGTGTCAACTTTAACATTTTAAACTTCCAAGGAATAAGTTATTGTTTTTGCATTGTTTTTCTATTTGCCCTGCGTTTGTGGATGCGTCTATTTTGACAGATTCGCATAGAAGTAACCTTTAAATTTGTGTACCTTTCGTCTCCAAGTTTACTAAGCGGCAACGTCTTCCCGTCTCCTTCATCTGCATGCTCAGAAGCACAATCGTTAGCGCATGGATGACCTTCGCACTAATGTTTTGGATTTTATTTGCAATATAACTACTGGAAATACCTGTTGAAAAGGATCGTGGTGTCTGTGCTGCATTCCAAAGCCCCGGCACAACATAAATTATAGGGGATTTTTTATTTTTTTGGAAATCATAAAATTGAAACCGCGTCTGACTTTTGGCGCTGTTCTGTTTTAAAAACTATCCTGTGGGTTCTCTCAACCTTCGAGAAAGTGTCGTCAAGAGCAGCATATGTTATTCTGCTGATTTATTGAAGACCAGTGCAACAAAGAGCTGAAAAATGCTCAAGAGTATTGCAGTCATCGCGGATACATCTGATCAGAACCCTGTAAATAAAATATCCGCTATTGCTGCATCATTAGCAAGTCTACCAGTTAAAACCACGCCATCTCAGTTCCGTGGAAGAGGAGTGGTGCTGCTTTAGATAAAACAAGTTTAATTTTCCAAGAACTGCTTTCCTGTAGAATCGGAGAAGTGGTTTTTGCAGTCCTGTCTCATCATGAAAAGACAAACACGACGATAGTTATGTATTGATAAATGAACAAAACAGAAGTTGTGAATGGCAAATAGACCTTTATTGCATGTGGCTGATGAGGAGCAACGTGGCAAACATAAGAATGCAAATGAAAAGTGTTCATCAATCAAACATAAGCAACCTACACACTGTAAAGATAATGTACGAGCTCGGAGGACATCATAAATAAGATTAAGGAAGTAGACACCATAGCGCGCCTAATGCAGTGTAGCTGCACGCATTCACTGCTGTTTTTGTGCTTTTGTATACAGTCGTGCAAACTCTGCAATGCATTGATAATACGGCAGATTCTAGGAGGCCTTTTCTCTGTGTTCTTCTGTCGGCAGCTGGTCCCCTGCACAAAAGAGGCAAGAAATAATATTAGAAAAACGTAATAGCTTGGATACAAAAGCCGTATTTTTCTTTAATTATAGCTGTGCACACATTCATTAGTATGTCTCGCGTTCAAGAACCGACATGGTTGAAGTATTGAGCTTTGACTATTTTGACACATGTTTGGCTCAGGCACTTGGGCAGCTGACCAGGCATATGGGTACATAATTTCATTATCTAATTGCACGAATCAGAGCCATAGCCAGCAATTCTTCATCGGGGGGTAGGAATGGGGTTAAATTAAAAAAAACAATCTCATTATGTATCTGCTGTACTTATATTTCATATATTTGCATTTTCATACGGCACTCGACGCACCTTTGCGTACATGCAGGTTTCACAGAGCATGATCATCTGCTTGATCCCCTTAATGTGTACTTGGTTGTTCATTGGTATTGTGAGCTGCATAGACACTGTATAAAGAAGCTACGTTTCACGCGTAGTAGCTACAGCAGCACACTGATTTCATCCAATGTATTGTGTTGTGCTTTTCTTAAACTGTCTTTAATAGTTATCTGACCGAGGCAGGAAAAAAATAAAAAAACACAGGAGAACTTACCTTCTCATTGGTACAGATGGTCGTCTAACGGAGGTGTGCTTCGTCGTAAATTTCGGCTAGGGCAGCAAAGGTTCACCGGAAAGGAAGCCACTCTAAAGTACGGTGAACCGAGCGCATCAAAAGTTTGCTATGCCGCTTGCTTGTCAAGCTTTCGCGCCACGCTTGAACTGATGCGGTGTGCGAGCTTCATCAAAACACTTCAAAGCACTGGAATCCGCAGTAAGTCATGGAGCACTCGCACGAAGAGTATACGCACCCCGAAGGCAGGTAATCCACTGGCTCATGCACGGAACGCAACACATCACGGCACTGGTGAGTGCTGCTTTTGACACCACGCCCGCTTGTCCCGGCGCCACAGTAGCCGTTGCTGAACCGTTCGAAGACAGCTCCGTAGTAAACGCGCACCGTCATTGTCGAAAGAACGCGGCGGTGGCAGCCTACTTGATCGAGAAACGCCGTCAAAGTAAGACGGGCCCCGCCATGGACGCGATGCTGGCGCAAATATTTCACTCGGGGGACGATTCAAGGTAGCTCGATCGCTTCCTTGACAATCTCAATGAAACGCTCAAGATTTTTTCAAGTGAAAGAAGCGTTTCAAGTGAAGGGCGGTTTGTGAATGGGAAAAGGCCACTTAAGGAGCGTTTCGAGTGAAGGATCGAGTGGAGGAGCGTTTGTGAATACGGGCCTAAGACGTGGAAGAATTTGACGGCGTCTGCTAATGCCTACGTCGTTTATAATCTGTATACTATTCAAGTACATTGTGATCTGTGGGGGCCATAGACCTAACCTTTATAAACTTTCAGAAAGCTCAATCGAGCCAAGGCTGCGAAAATACGAAAAATACGTTTTGAAAGTTGTGACGTCGCGTGCAGAGATTGCAGCGCGAAATTTAAAAACAAAACTTCAACCATAATTTTACTGGTAATAATCAACTTCTGATGGTGACACTTACGGCATTAGAATTCTCAGAGTACAGTTTATCAATCTAAACCAAGTAGTTGTTTCAGTTTATATATATTTTAACGTAAACTTTAGAATTCTTCGCCTCTACGTTATCTTCATTTCACGCTCACCATTCGCATCATATTTAGAGAATGTGAGGAGTTGAGGTTCGTTGAAGCCGCAACTATGTCTTTTTTTCGAGGGTTCCTCCATTCTTTTTTGGCAATCAAGAAAGAAAAAAAGAAAAAGCCAACGACCTAGATACCCATCCAAACTACGGTCGATCCCCTGCATTGGGTATCACCCATGCTCCGAGAACAACAACAATAGACTACTACTGGAATGGCTCATACGCGGAATGCATCTCTATAACCCTGTCGTCGTTTACGCCCATCGTGCAGGTAGTTCTGAACAAGACCATCCACTTCTTCCTGGGCATTCCGTTCGCCAAGCCTCCCGTAGGGCGACTGCGGTTCCGCAGGCCGGTCCCCATTGATCCTTGGACCGACGTGCTACGTGCCACGAAGATGCCACCCCGGTGCATGCAGGTGAGGTATCTTCAGGCCTCCGTGGATGAAGGAAAATACACGTTTATTCTCGAAACAGTGTTCTGAGCAATGCACAGTGTCGCCCTTTGGTGGGAAGGCGCCCTACAGAGGAACCCCCTGTCTTCGACTGCCCACTTGACGTTGGCGACGAATTGTCTCCAGTATTCCAAGTTCTCGACAGGAAGCTTGACTTTCCACGTTTCGGTTAGGTGGTCGTCGTTCGTTCATCCTGTCTGATTCCCTGTCATCTTCGCTTGAATATTACGGGTTGCATGACAGATACATTCAAGGATCAAGTGTACCAGGGTTCCCGGTACGCTGCAGAGCGGGTACACGTAGCTACGCTTCGTTGGGGTAGAGGTGGTGCGATAATGTTCCGTGTGTGTACGTTCTGCATTGCAGTCGTCTGAATGCCGTGTGCTATGCTTTTGTCAATTTTGGGTGTGGTGGAGGGTATACACTCGTCGCTCCAGTCGGTAGTGTTACAGTAGCAACGAATACGTGTACTGCACAGCCTCCGTCTCTTCAACCACGCGTCGGGTATCCAGTGGGTGGAGGGCAGCGCGGCTTACGTACTCGCTGCCAGCGGCGTGGGCTGCTGCTTTTCCCTGCTGACCCTCGCGCCCAGGCACCCACCCACAAGACGCAAGTGCATGGAAGCGGAGTTCCTCGCCATTTCAAGACATTGAGTAAAACTCTATAATTAGGGCGAAAGCCTTGTGGGATCCCTCTGTTGAAAATTCGAATGCCTGATGCCGTGCCGAACACAGAACGGTACTAGAGGCAACATGACCAAGAGACATGCGATGGCGTAACGTGATGACCTCTTTTAAAGACGTAATGTGATGTCGATATGTAATGACTTGCCGAGGGTGTCATTTAGGCTGTGTTCAGATAAGGTCATCCCGATTGCATGCAAAGACGGCGCAGTGCTTTTATGTGAGACGACATCAGGATGACATACGATGCCGTCAATGAAATTGTTCTTATATTAAGGGTCGGCCACTCTCTGGTGCAGCGCAACAACACCTTATCTGTAGATATATTCAAGAGGAATAAACCACTCACTCTACAGGAAATGCAAATCTATTAGGGGCGAAGCTCCTTAGGGCGTGGGCTGTGCGTCCCCTGTAGCCTGTATGTAGCCACCTCTAGTTTAGTTCTTGCAGTGTTCACTAGATGGCAGTACCGTCCCCTGTATGTAGCCACCTCTAGTTTAGTTCTTGCAGTGTTCACTAGATGGCGGTACCGTCTCCTGTATGTAGCCACCTCTCGTTTAGTTCTTGTAGTGTTTACTAGATGGTGGTACTTGTAGCTGATGATGGCGGTCAGATCTGCAACGCAGCAGAGGGTGCTAAGAATCTCTGGATCCGGACAGGCCGCCATTGGAACCTGAACTTGGCAACGTTTAACGCTAGAACCTTATCTAGTGAGGGAAGTCTAGCTGTACTATTCGAGGAGCTAGAGGGTGTTAAATGGGATATGATAGGGCTCAGTGAGGTTAGGAGGACAGATGAGGCCTATACGGTGCTACAGAATGGGCACGTCCTTTGCTACAGGGGCTTGGCAGACAGAAGAGAACTGGGAGTGGGGTTCCTAATTCACAGAAAAATAGCTGGCAACATAGAGGAATACTATAGCATTAATGAAAGGGTGGCAGGTATCGTAATTAAACTGAATGAAAGATACAAAATGAAGGTAGTACAGGCTTACGCGCCTACATCCAGCCATGATGACGCTTCAGTTGAAAGCTTCTATGAAGACGTGGAATCGGCAATGAGTAAGGTAAAAACACAGTATACTATGGTGATGGGCGACTTTAATGCAAAGGTAGGGAAGAAGCAGGCTGGAGACCAGGCAGTAGGAGATTATGGCATCGGTACTAGAAACGCCAGAGGAGAGCTACTAGTAGAATTCGCAGAACGCAATAATTTACGGATTTTAAATACCTTCTACCGAAAACGAGAAAACCGCAAGTGGACATGGAGGAGCCCTAATGGCGAAAATAAGAACGAAATAGACTTTATAATGAGTGCACACCCTGGAATCGTTAAGGATGTGGAAGTGATTGGCAAGGTACGATGCAGTGACCATAGAATGGTACGGTCTCGAATTCGCCTAGACTTGAAGAAGGAACGACAGAAACTGATACGCAAGAAGCCAATCAATCAGCTAGCACTTAGAGGGAAAGTACAGGAATTCAGAGTGTCGCTGCAGAACAGGTATTCGGCTCTTAGTGAGGAAACCAACCTTAGCGTAGATACAATGAATGATAATCTGACGAGTATCATTACGGAGTGTGCAGTGGAAGTTGGAGGCCGGGTAGTTAGACAGGACATTGGCAAGCTTTCCCAAGAAACGAAGAACCTAATTAAGAAGCGTCAAATCATGAAAGTGTCAAGTGCAACAGACAAAATAGAACTGGCAGAGCTTTCGAAGTTGATTAATAGACGTAAGGTATGCGATGTAAGAAGGTATAACATGGAGAGAATTGAACACGCTCTGAAAAACGGAGGAAGTGTCAAAGCATTGAAGAGGAAACTTGGGATAGGCAAAAGTCGGATGTATGCACTAAGGGACAAAGAAGGCAAAATAACTACCAATATGGATAGGATAGTTAAAATAGCGGAGGAGTTTTACAGAGATCTGTACAGTAGCCGAGACAACCACGACCTTAATACTATAAGAACTAGCAGTAACCCAGATTACACCCCACCAGTAATGATAGAAGAAGTCAGAAAAGCTTTGGAGAGCATGCAAAGGGGCAAAGCTGCTGGTGAGGATCAGGTAACATCAGATTTGCTGAAAGATGGAGGACAGATTGTGTTAGAAAAACTAGCCACCCTGTTTACGAGGTGTCTCCTGACGGGAAGAGTACCAGAGTCTTGGAAGAACGCTAACATCATCTTAATACATAAGAAAGGAGATGACAAGGACTTGAAGAATTACAGGCCGATCAGCTTGCTCTCTGTAGTATACAAGCTATTTACAAAGGTAATTGCTAACAGAGTAAAGAAAACATTAGAATTCAATCAACCAAAGGAACAAGCAGGATTTCGAACAGGCTACTCAACAATTGACCACATTCATACTATCAATCAGGTAATAGAGAAATGCTCAGAGTATAACCAACCACTATACATAGCCTTCATAGATTACGAGAAGGCGTTTGATTCAGTAGAAATATCAGCCGTCATGCAAACACTGCGGAATCAGGGCGTAGATGAAGTATATATAAACATTCTGGAAGAAATCTACAGGGGATCAACTGCTACCATAGTGCTTCATAAAGAAAGCAACAGAATACCAATCAAGAAGGGTGTAAGGCAGGGGGACACAATTTCCCCAATGCTATTTACCGCGTGCTTACACGAGGTTTTCAGAAGCCTAGAATGGGAGCAGTTAGGGATAAGAGTCAATGGAGAATACCTTAGTAACCTGCGCTTCGCCGATGACATTGCATTGCTGAGTAACTCGGGGGACGAATTGCAACTCATGATTACGGAGTTAGACAAGGAGAGCAGAAAGGTGGGTCTTAAAATTAATCTGCAGAAAACGAAAGTAATGTACAACAACCTCGGCAAGGAGCAGCGCTTCGAGATAGGTAATAGTGCACTTGAAGTTGTAAAAGACTATGTCTACTTAGGGCAGGTAATAACCGCAGAGCCGAACCACGAGATTGAAGTAACTAGAAGAATAAGAATGGGGTGGAGCACATTCGGCAGGCACACTCAAATTATGACAGGTAGATTGCCACTATCCCTCAAGAGGAAGGTATATAACAGCTGTATCTTGCCGGTACTTAGCTACGGAGCAGAAACCTGGAGACTTACAAAGAGGGTTCAGCTTAAATTGAGGACGACGCAGCGAGCAATGGAAAGAAAAATGGTAGGTGTAACCTTAAGAGACAAGAAGAGAGCAGAGTGGATTAGGGAACAAACGGGGGTTAAGGATATCATAGCTGAAATCAAGATGAAGAAATGGACATGGGCAGGGCATGTAGCGCGTAGACAGGATAACCGCTGGTCATTAAGGGTAACTGACTGGATTCCCAGAGAAGGGAAGCGGGTCACGGGGAGACAGAAGGTTAGGTGGGCAGATGAGATTAAGAAGTTTGCGGGTATAAATTGGCAGCAGCAAGCACAGGACCGGGTTAACTGGCGGAACATGGGAGAGGCCTTTGTCCTGCAGTGGACGTAGTCAGGCTGATGATGAATGATGATGAATGATTGAATGTAGCTGATGATGAAAAGATGCAAGATGTTATAAACTAGAAAGCGCTACTTGTAGTTGATGAAAGACGCGAGATCTTATAAAATAGGAATGATGTCACATATGGCGCGTGTCATTGGTTGAAGGCAATCGTTCGATTTAGTGCGGCGACGTACGCTAGGGGGAGCGATGTAATAAAATCGAGTGGGCAAAATGTACAGAGGATTCATGGTTTACCAGGTTTACCTCCGGAGCTTCGCCCACTCATCATCATTCATTTCGTGGATATGGTGGAATTTTTTTTAATTAGTCTCTCTTGAGAGCACGCGATTTGCCCTGTCGTTTTTATAGCGCTTGGTGCAGAAATAGCCATTGTCACCTATAGCATACTTTCAAGACGATGTCTACCTAACTAGCTTCTACATGTATTCTCTGTAGAAATTCTATATTCATGGCGTAATTATTTCCAAAAGCGAATTAACCCTCAACTGGTCAGTACAGTCTCGTAGATGGCTGATCGCAGCTTAATGACGCATATGGTCGATTAGCTCTGCCAACGTGCCTGCGCCTTTCCTCGACACGTAGCCAATCAGCGCGCACTAAAACTGACATGTCTAAGAAGTGGCTGTCTCAGGCGATGACACTCCTTGTTTGTAGCAAGGCGTGCTGAGCCAAGAGGACTGCCTCTACCTGAACGTGTGGACGCCGACCATGAACACCTCGTGGAAGCTTGACGTCATGGTATACTTCCATGGTGGAGCGTACACCTTCGAGAGACCGCTGATACAGAGGGACCTCCGGTACGTATGTCGAGGACTGGTATTTATTCAGCGTTTCCAGGGCCAAGCACCTAATAAAGGCAAAGCCTTAGAAACTTCATGAAACGCTAAATGTGACCGTTGAAGTCGGCAGTGTTAGCATGCATGATGCAAAAGATCGCCATCGTGTGAAAACGTCACCATACAACGTCACATTTACGTATCATTTGTGAATCCGTGATTACGTCACGATATGCCATTATGCGATGACGTCATCGCAGAACGTCGTCACTTGGTCATAGGCACGCCGATCACGGAGACGGTGCAGAACAACACAAGGAGCAGAAATATCCGAAAAGTGTGGGGGCGGGCGCGATCAATACGATCGACTGAGAAGAAACAGTCCCATGGCCTTCACCTTCGAACCGTCTTAGGCAAATGTAAAGCAAACGTGTGACTTCACTTATTAGTAGATGTCGACTTAAATTCCAAATTTCAATTATTTAAATGCTGGTAGTCCAGTTTGCCAACGGCGAGGACCAGAGCTTAAACCATTCGAAAAGTTCAAGTTTGGTACCTGCGCGCGGTGAGTTATTCTTTCGTCCGCATTATTTTCTTCATAATTCTACTATAGCTAGTGTCCAGTTGTTCGCATAGCGTACGGCTCTTAATAGTAGAGTATTCATGGTACTCGAAAGCGTCAAATATTTTTAAATGCTACAAATATCAAGCCTTTTTACATTTCATGGCGTTATTGTTCGTTATTTTTCATTAGTATTGTCGGAACGGAAACGATATACACCGTCAAATTATCGACTCATTCGTTTTTGTTTGTTTGCGATTTCTCAACCATGCATACATACAACACCAGACGTTACGCATACATCATCAGTCGCAGTGACACCGGTTCTAATTGCGAACACTGTGATGTGCCAGAAACACTTGAGCACATATTTTGTGTCTGTCCACCATACGCATGTGAATCACAAACACTAATTTCTTCTACTGAACGATATCGCAGTAGGTCATTAACTGATGAGACCGTGTTGGGCCCTTGGCCAGACACCAACAGTGCAATTGTGGTCATAAGAACGGTTATAACATTTTTGGAAGCAACTGGACTGTATGCACGGCCATAAAATTTGTCTTAGCTAGAAAGAATTCTACATACTCACCTATCCATCTCACCATCGTCATCTATTAGTCTTTCTTCTCCCCTTTTCCCTCCCCCAGTGTAGAGTAGCAGGCTAGAGCAAGCTATCACTCAGGCCGACCTCTCTGCCTTTCTGGAAATAAACCTATCTCTCTCTCTCTATCTCTCTACATACATACATACATACATACTACATACATACATACATACATACATACATACATACATACATACATACATACATACATACATACATAACATACATACATACATACATACATACATACATACATACATACATACATACATACATACATACATACATACATACATACATACATACATACATACATACATACATACATACATACATACATACATACATACATACATACATACATACATACATACATACATACATACATACATACATACTGTACCGAAGCATAGTGGCACCAGCTCTGTGCCAGCGTGAAAGAAGACGTTGACGTCCGTGTGTGGCTCGTGCTTGCCGGGTCCCTGCCTGTACCAGCTTGTTGCGGCTAACGTTTCTGAAATAATAACCTGTGTTTTTACGCAACCTTGCTCGTTGCATTTGGTGGAAACGTGCTGGTTAACGTCCTGGAGCTCCGCAGCCGTAAGCTACCATCTCAGTCCACGATGACCGAGCGCGTCGATCCCCCACAAGGCTCTTCCACGCTGCCACCCGTCATGTGTTCTGGTGTACTTCGTCTGCGTGACCCACCAGTATACAACGGCACTGAAGATCAAGATGTCGAGGACTGGCTGGCAGAGTACGAGCAGGCCAGCGCGATTAACAAGTGGGATGACCCTGCGAAGCTGATTCACGTCATCTTCTACTTGACGGATTTGGCCAACCTATGGTTCACCAACCACCAAGCCGACATCCCCACCTGGTCGGTTTTCAAAGAGGCCGTCACCTCGTTTTTCGGTCGTCCAGCCATGCGTAAGCTTCGCGCTGAACTGGGACTGCGGGGACGATTTCAGCGAAATGGTGAGAGCTTCACAAGCTACATTGAGGATGTGATCAGCCTCTGTAGGCGAGTTGATGACAGGATGACGGAGGCTGACAGAATAAAGAACATAATGAAAGGCATTGATGACGACGCTTTTCATATGCTTGTGGCCAAAGACCCACAGACCGTCACGGCCTTGATTCACTTATGTCAAAGTTTCGATGAACTGCGCAAGCAACGAGTTTCTACACGTCGCGCTAATACGCAGACAGCTGATATTTCGGCCTTGGAGTGCAAAAGCAGTGGCCCCGACTACAGCGTGTTAATGCCTCAAATTCAACAGTACATCCGGGAGGAAGTTGCTCGACAGCTCTCTCTTGTCGCCACCATCAACGAGACCCCCACAACACTGGACCACTCACTTCGCCGTGCTATTCAGACGCAAGTTGCCGAGGCTCTCCCTTCGCCCACATCCCCAATATCAGTGGCTGCACCGCTGACTTATGCAGAAGCCGTCCGCCGACCTTCTGCCCAACCGCCGCTCCCTTCATACAGTCCAGCCACCAACTACTACAGGTCACCAGTTTCAGTTTATCCGGTAAATCGGCCCATTCCACCACCTCGAGCACCTGCCAACTCTTGGCGTACTCCAGATAACCGGCCCATCTGCTACAACTGTGGTATTCCAGGACATGTCGCGCGCTACTGTCGTCGCCGTGGATTCTATTTTAATGATGTGCAGCATTCCGGCAACATACCTCGGCCATCAGAATCGCATGTGACACCTGATTCGTATGACCCCCGATCACGTCGACCAGACTTCAGCCGACGTCGATCTCCTTCACCCCGTCTTCGGTCTCCTTCCCCCATGCTTCGCCGTTCCAACCACGCCCAGGAAGAAAACTGACAGTCGCAGTTCCTGAGGCAAGAGCTGCGCCACCGACGAAATTTTCAAGGCCTCATCTATCGCCCCCTAACGAGATTGCCGTGTTTGTGGACGGTTTCGCCACAACTGCTCTTGTCGACACAGGTGCCGCTATTTGTATAATCAGTGAAGTGTTATGCCGCAAACTGAACAAAGTGACGACTCCACTGGTTGAAATTTCTTTACGCACGGCGAGTTCGCAACACGTCCAACCTTCTGCCACGTGCACTGCTCGTGTTGTGATTCAAGGAGTGCTTTACATCGTAGAATTTGTCGTCCTTCCGCATGCGTCTCATGAAATCATCCTGGGATGGAACTTTCTTTCCGCTAATCATGCGGTTGTCGACTGCGCTCGTGCTCAACTCGTTTTGTTTCCATTCAGCACGACATTCATAGATCTCCCTCACTCACCCAAAAAGGTGATCGTCGCCGCTGACGTCGTCATTTCTGCTTTCTCGGTCACCGCGGTATCTCTTTTGTGCAACTCCGTTTCCGATTTAACTGCCCTATTTATGCCGTCACAAGAATGCGCTCGTCGCCGGAACCTTGTCGTCCCGTTTGCCGTCATAACACTTGCCGATGGCTCCAGTTCCGTGTACGTGTGCAATCCGTTCCCTTGTCCCGTTACCTTATTGCATGGCGAATGCATTGGGAGTCTTGACACTTATGATGACATCTTTCCTTTCGATGCCCGTTCTGATACGACACCGATGTCCGTGGATGCTGTCACAGCTGGCACCGCGCCCTCACTACCTGACGAAGACGTTCTGTTGCGCAGCGTAGACACCGGCCTTACGCAAGACCAGCGCAATCAGCTCATTCAACTACTTGACCGTTTCCGCGCCTCCTTCGACCATGGACAACCTCCCTTGGGACGCACGTCAGTTGTCGCTCACCATATCGACACCGGTCATCATACTCCACTTCGTCAGCGCCCCTACCGCGTCTCGCAGGCCGAGCGTGACGTCATCACTCAACACGTCGACGAGATGCTGCAACGTGGTGTTATTCAGCACTCACACAGTCCTTGGGCTTCGCCAGTGGTCCTCGTGCGAAAAAAGGATGGCTCCATCAGGTTTTGCGTGGATTATCGTCGACTAAACAGCATCACACGCAAGGATGTTTATCCCCTGCCACGCATTGATGACGCTTTGGATTGCCTTCAAGGTGCGGAGTTTTTCTCTTCACTGGATCTGCGCTCTGGATATTGGCAAGTACCAATGGCTGAACCAGACCGTCCAAAAACGGCGTTTGTGACCCCTGACGGCTTATATGAATTTAATGTAATGCCCTTCGGTCTTTGCAATGCGCCTGCGACTTTTGAAAGAATGATGGACAGTGTCCTCAGGGGACTTAAATGGCACATCTGTCTTTGCTATTTAGACGACATAGTTGTATTCTCGGCGAATTTCGAAACTCATCTTTCCCGTCTGGAACAAGTTCTCCAGTGCCTTAAGGCAGCCGGGTTGCAACTTAACTTCAAGAAATGTCGTTTTGGCGCCCGCAAACTCACAATTCTCGGCCACGTCGTTTCAAAAGAAGGAATATCGCCAGATCCTGCCAAACTGCGTGCCGTTGCCGAGTACCCCAAGCCTACTACCCTAAAGGAGCTTCGTAGTTTCATAGGCTTGTGTTCCTATTTTCGGCGTTTCATTCGCAATTTTGCCTCTATAATTGCCCCTCTGACTCAGCTTCTCTCCCGTAGCACGGACCTCTCTGGCTGGAATTCCCACTGCGATGAGGCATTCAAGGCGCTACGCCGGCTACTCATCTCTCCGCCAGTTCTCCGCCACTTCGATCCCAATTCACCCACTGAAATTCACACGGATGCAAGCGGTGTCGGCCTCGGTGCCATTCTCGCTCAACGCAAGGATGGCTGCGACGAGTACGTTGTCGCCTATGCCAGCCGTACACTAACGAAGGCAGAGTCCAACTATTCCGTCACGGAAAAGGAGTGCTTGGCTATCATTTGGGCTATAGGAAAATTTCGCACCTACCTTTACGGACGCCAGTTTGATGTTGTCACAGATCACCATGCCTTATGCTGGTTAGCGTCCATGAAAGATCCTACTGGCCGCCTCGCTCGTTGGGCTTTACGCCTTCAGGAATACGATATCCGTGTTGTTTATCGCTCAGGACGCAGACATTCAGACGCCGATGCACTATCCCGTTCTCCACTGCCTCCTGACCTTGCCTGCTTATCAACTGCCATTTGCGATTCGTCATCGTTGAGCATCACTGACATGCCATCCGAACAGCGCAAGGATCCCTGGATCAATTCTTTGCTCGACGTCCTCTCTCACAGTTCGTCAGAAACGACTTCACGCTCCCTCTCTCGTCAAGTAAGACACTTTGCTGTCCGTGAAGGCTTGTTGTATCGCCGCAATTACGTGACGGATGGCCGTAGGTGGCTCCTTGTCATCCCTCGTCATTTGCGTTCGGACATCTGCGCTGCCTTTCACGATGACCCCCAGTGTGGCCACGCTGGAGTATTTAAGACTTACTCTCGCCTTCGTCTAAGATACTACTGGCGCGGCATGTATCGGCACGTTCGCCAGTACGTTCGGTCATGCACCACGTGTCAACGACGCAAGACGCCTTCTCACAGCACTGCTGGCCCTTTGCAACCCTTAACCTGCCCAGCGAGACCATTCGACCGCGTCGGAATTGATATTTATGGTCCTCTACCCAACTCTCTTCGAGGCAACCGGTGGATTATCGTCGCCGTGGATCATTTAACACGCTACGCTGAAACATCTGCGCTGCCTGCTACCACTGCGAAAGACGTTGCGTCCTTTCTTCTTCACCATCTCATTTTGCGACACGGTGCACCTCGTGAATTACTGAGTGACCGTGGACGCGTGTTTCTCTCGAACGCCGTCGACGAGCTACTCAAGGCATGTCGCACTGTCCATAGGAAATCCTCGGCATACCATCCCCAAACCAATGGCATGACAGAACGCTTTAACCGTACCCTTGGAGATATGCTTGCGATGTACGCCTCTGACGACCACACTAATTGGGACCAAGTGCTCCCTTTTGTCACGTACGCGTACAACTCTGCGCCACAAACAACCAATGGCTTTTCTCCTTTCTTCCTTCTGTACGGACGTGAGCCATCATGCTCCATGGACAGCATTCTCCCTTACAGGCCTGATGTTTCCGAAGCGACGCCTGTTTCCGAAGCAGCTGCTTATGCCGAAGAGTGTCATCAACTCGCTCGCTCATTTACCGCACAAGACCAATGGCGCCAGAAAACTGACCATGATTCCTCTGCGTCTACTGTACACTATAACCCAGAAATGCTGGTTTGGCTCTGGGTCCCGTCTACCCCTCCCGGTCTTTCCCCGAAGCTTTCGTCGAAATACCATGGCCCCTACCGTGTGGTGCGGCAAACATCTCCTGTCAACTATGAATTTGAGCCTATTGATCCACCCTCGGACCAACGCTGCCGTGGGCGTGAAACAGTACACGTATCACGCCTCAAACCGTGCTATGACCCCCTTGTCGTGTCCTTTCCCTAGGTCGCCAGGTTGGCTCCTTTCTGCGCGGGGAGTAATTGTACCGAAGCATAGTGGCACCAGCTCTGTGCCAGCGTGAAAGAAGACGTTGACGTCCGTGTGTGGCTCGTGCTTGCCGGGTCCCTGCCTGTACCAGCTTGTTGCGGCTAACGTTTCTGAAATAATAACCTGCGTTTTTACGCAACCTTGCTCGTTGCAATACATACATACATACATACATACATACATACATACATACATACATACATACATACATACATACATACATACATACATACATACATACATACATACATACATACATACATACATACATACATACATACATACATACATACGCACGCATGCACGCACGCACGCACGCACGCGCGCTTATATATATGAATCACGAATGGCGTACAAGGGAACACCCAGCGATGGATCTCCGGTTGTGAATCTGCGATGGATCTCCGGTTGTGATGGATCTCCGGTTTTATTGCGATAGCGAATATATGGACACTCTGAGATGGATTTCGCCGCCGGCGTCGGCGTCGATGTCATGCATCGCATATGTATACGTATCTATATATATAAAAACACAAGAAAATGCAGAAAAAACACTCCGGCGCGCGAAAGCGAACGTGGGACCTCGGGGTCATGAAAGTGAGGGTTTAACCACTGAGCCACCGCGGAGCACATCTTAGAGTGTTCAAACAGCAAGCTACTTATATCTACCACTTACCTTTGCTCACGAGCATCTCGTGGGGGGGGGGGGGGGATTTTGTTTTCAGCATTATCAGCAAGGTGGCGCAATGAGCGCGCGTCGCTACATCGGCGCCTGCTCTAATCTCGTACGCGTACTTTGCCCGGCTTAGAGAAAGGGAGCGATGCTTTCTCACGCGCCCTTATCTCGCGGCGGCGAGAAGGGTAAGGTCATACGCCTTGGCTGGCCTCTGGCTATACCTGCAAGAATTCTGCTGTAGTTACCGGGTGCGCAAAGATCACTGTAATCATTGCAGTCTCCGTTTGCGAAAAGCGCGCGCTTTTCAGACACAGCAAAGTATCAAATGAGACGCTTATTCGCGTGCATCCGTACGTGTGAGTACGTTTTGTGCGTCATTCGTGCGTGAAGAACGCGGGGCATGTTTCGATCTGCTTTCCATTCTGCGCGTGAACTTTCAATTTTATGCTCTCGCGTTCATTGCTTCGCTTTCCGGCAAAGCTGTGGCTTTTTTCTTTCAACCGGGCAGGTACATGACGGCGATGGCTGACGTGGTCATGGTGAAGATGAACTACCGGCTGGGCGCCTTCGGCTTCCTCTACGGTGCCCACGAATACGCTCCGGGCAACATGGGCCTCTATGACCAGTACCTGGCCCTTTTGTTTGTCCTCAACAACATCGAGCTGTTCGGAGGTGACCCGAACAAGATCACCGCCTTCGGGAACAGTGCGGGCGCCATGTCCATTGGTCTGATGGTAAGCGCCAGGTCATGCATTGCACTGGGAACACTAAGCTTCATGACTCTTGGAAGACAAATAGGTCCGAAAAGGCGAACTCGCAAAATTATTTGGGACGGCATAATCGTTTAACAACTATGCTTTAACATAGCGTTTATACGGGTACCATTTACTTGCCCTTTCAGCAGAAGTGAACGCTCTGCTTTGGCACAGCTCGCCCACAAGCACTTTCACCCTGCCCTCTAAGCTAGTAATCTGGCAACACTATCCCTATAAGGCGAAAGGACCTTAGAGGCCAACTGGCGATGTAGTTGTCCACCGGCTAGTAAGGTAAAAGTGTTTGTTACAGGGCATTGACTGTGTTCATTTTGGTACGCCTTCAAAGGTGCGTCCATTCCATGTGTCAGAAGCAAAAGAGTGTAAAATGGCGTAAACGAACATCAAGTGTTCAGTTTTCTCTGCAGGCCTGTTAACTCGCTGCCGCCTTCCATTTCCGTTATTCTGGTATATTATTCCCGTGTCCACATCCAATCTCTTGACTCAGTATGCTAGGCGTCGATTTAGGAACACTCGAAAACGTAACATTGCCTGCTCTCATTATCTATGTGGCGTATAAATCAAGATAATTAAAGCAGATTTGATCACGGGACGAATGAACGTTCAGGAGATGTTAGTCGAAACCGAGATTAAAAACGAGCGTGGGCAGACGTGTAGTGAGGACCTAACTAAAACAGCGCAAAAAAATGGAACAGCGTGGTGACGAAAAGCAAACACAAAAACAAGGTGTTGTTCAATGTGTTTGCTTTTTGCATCCATCGATTGTTGCTCTATTTAGCTTTCAGTATGATTAATCGAATGGCCCAGTCGGCCAATTTATGTAGTGAAAAGCAAATATAATTGCTGATAATTGTAAGAGTGACAGACTTGAATCCAAGAGAGCGAAAGCCTGGCAGCCTGACAGGGATAATTACGTGGTTATTAAAATGAAATTAAGACACTTTGCGAGAATAACGCGAAAGCAGCGAGAACTGGACCGGGTCAGTTAGAGAATTATGGGAGAAGCTTGTTCGGCAGAGAGGCGTAGTCAGTTTGATGATGATGATGATGACGACTGACATGCCTGGCAAACTTGAGTTTTTAAGTAAAGGACACTAGGCAAGCACGTTCAATTCACTTCGCTCTCATACAGGAAGCAATCGTTATCGCCCTACTTTACAGGCCACGTCACCGCTTACTCGACACGTCATCAAGCGTGCCGTGATGCAGAGCGGTAGCCCATGCGTGTCCATCATAGCACGGGAGAACAACACACTGGAGATAGCTGACAAGCTGGCCTACCTGGTCGGTTGCGCTGTCAGAGGAATGACCGTAACCACCCACCCGCGACAGATCGTGTCCTGCCTGAGGCGCATCGAAGCAGACAAGATAGTGGTGAGCGTCATTATTGTAGAACACACACACTCAGCCCTTCCGAAAATGTCACATGGTTCACAATGTCACAATCTCACAATGTCGCGTTTGTCTGAGAAGGCTATAAGGCCAAAGCCATCTTCTTTTACTTCTCAGTCGACGTATTTATCCTTCCCCTCCCCCTTTCCGAAAACTTTCTGTACCTAACGATCTTTCGCACGGCCTTCAGAGCCGTGCGAAAGCTATTTCTTCACCGCGTTCGTTTCCCCGCTGGCTCCACGATGGCCAACCTGTGACCAAGTGACGACGTCATGCTGCCTCAGAATGTCATAGTGACACCCGGTGACGCCACAGTGACCTCGCTGTGAAAACACAAGTGTTGACAATCTGTGCCGTCACCATGACGTCATGTGGCTGCGCCATCCCATGATTATGACTTCACATCAGTCATGTTCATGCCACCGACGCGGGACGCCAGTGGTCAAACTTTTTTTCAGCACGAAGAGAAGAAATCCCATGACATATTACGAGAACACCTCAATATAATAATCGAAACTATGGGCACGCCCTAGCAATCTTATTGCGATAGGATAGAATCTCGGCTCGTTTTTGCCATCGGCGTCGCCGTCATGTCATATATATATATATATATATATATATATATATATATATATATATATATATATATATATATATATATATATATATATATATATATATATATATATATATATATATATATATATATATGAAGCTCGCGACTGCGGGGTGCGACCCCTCGCTCCGGATCACGCGGAATTAAACGACTTGGCCACAGATCATACCAACGTTAGTATGTCCTCCGACATGCTAACGGCGGGCTATTCGCATAGCTATTTACATACGCCTTTTGACGCTAGTGATACACAGAGTGCAGGAGAGCTTTCTCTTTTTAACAGACCAGATGTCACAAATAGTGCGCCATGAAGGGTCACAGAGTGCAGGAGAGCTTTCTGTTTTTAACAGACCAGATGTCACAAATAGTGCGCCATGAAGGGTCACAGAGTGCAGGAGAGCTTTCTGTTTTTAACAGACCAGATGTCACAAAGAGTGTGCCATAAAAGGTCGTCGACCTGACTCTAAAGCTACGCAAAATGAGCACGTTATTCTCTCCCGGCGATTCGAATCTTCCGAGAGTAATTTTTCATAAAATAATTAACCCTGGTATCTTGCGGCAGTTTCAATGGCACAGCTGTCTCCAGCTCCTCGCGGTGTCCAGTTTCACGCTTATTATGGTAAAATCGTTAAATGCCTTATGAAGAGACAACGAAGTTTACCGAAACTTGACGACACTTTGCGCGTCTTGGTGAGGCACTGCGCGATTTGGCAACATCTGGGCGGAATGTCGAATAGCGCTGTGGCAAGATGACGCCATCAGTGGTGCCATCTCGTTGCGTCTTTGTGGCTCGACTGGCCGCTATCATTTGCGACGTGATTATGGTGGCGCTCACCTCAAACCACGAGTTTGCTTCGTGAAAGAAGTACCGATTCCAAATGTAGCACTACAATCGGTGAAGATCAGCAAGAAACTTAAAATGTCGACGAGGAGATGGCGAACGTAACTGGCCGAGAAGGTCATCGTATCACTATCAATATGTCATCACAATATATGCCTTCACCTGCCGTCTCTCTATAGGGTATAAGCTTCAGAGACTGTACTTATTTTGTATCTATGCAGGACGCAACATCGGTTCTCTTTGGCATGCTCAGAGTATTCGTCCCGGTCTTCGGCGACGAGATGCTCCCTATGCACATACTGCCGGCGCTTAAGTACGGCTTCTTCAACAAGAACCTGAAGCTGCTCATCGGCATCACACCTGACGAAGGAGCCAGCATTCTCAGCACGTGCGTGAAACATCTCCACAACCCCTTCGCTGCGTATCGAGGTCTACATTAGCTTCAAAGGCATTACTCGAGCCTTTCAGTCAGAGACTATCGTCAATCTTCGGACCGCGTGGCCTTTGGTTCAAATGTAGACAGTTTGGATATCTAAAGTCCAGTGATTTAGAGTAAAAGGCATGAACACTATAGAGTGTTTGAGTCCAAGGTCTTCTTTTTCGAAGCCACAGAGTTTGGGGAATTGGGATCACAGCTATAGTGGAGACGTTTGAGTCAAAGTTGTAGCCGTTTCATACAGTCAGTTAAAATTCAGTTAAAATATAATTGTCCAAGTGTGATACAGGGCTTTGAGCCCCTCTTACATACATACATGTATGTATGTATGTATGTATGTATGTATGTATGTATGTATGTATGTATGTATGTATGTATGTATGTATGTATGCATGTACGTATGTATGTATGTATGTATGTATGTATGTATGTATATATGTATGTAATTGATTGATATGTGGGGTTTAACGTCCCAAAACCACCATATGATTATGAGAGACGCCGTAGTGCAGGGCTCCGGAAATTTCGACCACCTGGGGTTCTTTAACGTGCACCCAAATCTGAGCACACGGGCCTACAACATTTCCGGCTCCATCGGAAATGCAGCCGCCGCCGTCGGGATTTGAACCCGCGACCTGCGGGTCAGCAGCCGAGTACCTTAGCCACTAGACCACCGCGGCGGGGCGATGTATGTATGTATGTATGTATGTATGTATGTATGTATGTATGTATGTATGTATGTATGTATGTATGTATGTATGTATGTATGTATGTATGTATGTATGTATGTATGTCTTACATACATACATACATACATACATACATACATACATACATACATACATACATACATACATACATACATACATACATACATACATACATACATACATACATACATACATACATACATACATACATACATACATACATACATACATACATACATACATACATACATACATACATACATACATACATACATACATACTTGTTACGGATGTGATGGGTTTATTTACAATGAAAAATGTCAGCGCTCTACCGTCACTGCCGAATCACCATCGCTCGAGCGCATCCGATCTCTTCTTCTTCCTCGCTCTTTCAGTCCGCGTTACATTTCCCTCCGGGCCAGACGAAGCTCACCGAGCGAGTAGAAGCGATCGGTTGTTGTAGGGCTTCAATCGGGCAATGTGTACAATTTGCGTCTTGCGCGAACGCCGGTTCTGAGCTGTCACTCTCGCGACAGCGTAAGCGATGTCACTTAAGCACTGAGTAATGACAAACGATCCTGAGTACTTAGAAAGAAACTTCTGGCAAAGTCCCTTTTTTCGAACAGGCGTCCACAGCCAGACCAAATCACCTGTAGTGAAAGTCACGGGCGGGTGTTTTGCGTCGTAACGGTCTTTCGCGCGAGCGTGGGCGGAAAGAGTTCGAAGCCGAGCAAGTCGACGAGCTTCTTCGGCGCGACACAAAGTCTGCGCGACACTGGCGTTTTCGTTCGTCGAAAATGGAAGTATGGTGTCAAGGAAACTTTGCGGATGACGAGCATAGAGAAGAAAAAAAGGCGTATAACCTGTGACTTCGTGTTTCGCGGTATTAAAGGCGTATGTAACAAAAGGTAATACGGCATCCCAGTTCTTGTGATCCGCTGCGACGTACATTGAAAGCATGTTGATGATGGTACGATTGGTGCGCTCAGTAAGGACGTTGGTCTGAGGGTGGTATGGCGTGGAATGGCGATACTGACACCCACAAAGCCGTAGCAACTCTTCGACAACGTCAGCGGTAAACTGACGGCCGCGATCACTTATCACCACACGAGGGGCCCCGTGACGAAGTATGATCGAGTGTAGAAGAAACCATGACACATCAGATGATGTGGCTGAAGCAACCGCCATCGTTTCAGTATACCGCGTCAGGTAATCTACGCACACAATAATCCAGCGGCGGCCGGTGGTAGACTTGGGGAAAGGGCCCCAATTTATGCCGACTTTTTCGAATGGTGATGTCGGTGGCTTAACCGGCTGCAGTGGGCCGGCCGATGGTGTGGTAGGTTGTTTGTGGCGTTGGCAGACATCACAACTTGCGACGTAGTGCTTGGTGGTCTTCCAGAGTCGAGGCCAGTAAAAACGTTGTCGGATACGGTGAAGCGTTCGGGCACATCCAAGGTGCCCAGACGTGATGTCATCGTGCATGGCTTGGAATACCGCAAGACGCAGGCATTCTGGCACGACGAGTAGTAGTGTGGAACCATGGCTGGAGTAATTCTTGCGATATAATAGGGCGTCATGAATCACCAATGGCGTGGCGTGTTTAGAGCTACGAGCCACATCAATCATTGGTTTCAGCGAAGGGTCACGCTGTTGTTCGTGACGAAAGACATCCAAATTTGGGAAGTTGGATGAGATTGCGGCCAGGTAGTTGTCAAAATCATCATCATCAGCATCCACAGTGGGAGATGGAAGACGAGATAAGCAGTCGGCATCTGCGTGACATCGACCGCTCTTGTAGGTCACAGAATAATTATATTCTTGAAGCCGTAAGGCCCAGCGAGCCAACCGACCAGCTGGGTCACGTAGTCCGACAAGCCAACAAAGTGAATGATGATCTGTGACGATCTTGAACTTCCGGCCGTACAAATAAGGTCTGAACTTTTGGACGGCGAAAACAACTGCAAGACATTCCAGTTCGGTGACCGTATAATTCCTCTCCGCCTTAGTCAAAGTACGACTTGCATACGCCACGACGTGCTGCCGGCTATCGTGATATTGAACTAGCACGGCACCAACTCCGATACCACTAGCATCTGTATGCAGTTCCGTCAGTGCCTCCTGGTCGAAATGGCGCAAGAGGGGCCCGGAAGTAAGCAAATACTTCAGCTGCTCGAAAGCAGCCTCACACTCAATGGTCCATCGAAACGGAGTGTTTTTGCGGAGCAACTCTGTCAGGGGATGAGCAAGCTGGGCGAAGTCTTTGATAAACCGACGAAAATAAGAACACAGGCCCACGAAGCTACGGAGATCCTTCAAAGACGTCGGTTGCTTGAAGTCTCGGACAGCACTGATTTTGTGCGGGTCTGGTCGTATACCGTCCTTGTCAACTAGATATCCAAGCACAAGGGCTTGACGCTCACCAAAATGACACTTCTTTGCGTTTAAAACGAGACCAGCTTGTTTGACGCAGTCTAGAACAACGCTAAGCCGATGGTTGTGTTCGTGGAATGTCTTGCCAAAAATAATTACATCATCGAGATAACACATACATATCTCCCATTTGAGACCGCGAAGGATGGAGTCCATGAATCGCTCGAAGGTAGCTGGGGCATTGCATAAGCCAAACGGCATAACGTTGAATTCAAATAATCCATCAGGCGTGACAAAAGCAGTCTTCTCTTTGTCAGACGGATGCATTGGTATTTGCCAGTATCCAGACCTTAGGTCGACAGACGAAAAGTAGGCGGCCGAGTGCAGACAATCAACAGCATCGTTGATGCGTGGTAGCGGATACACGTCTTTCTTTGTGACGGCGTTGAGACGGCGGTAGTCTACACAGAATCGCCAAAAGTTGTCTTTCTTTTTTACCAATATAACAGGAGCTGCCCAGGGACTGCTTGACTTTTGAATAACGCCTTTCTGCAGCATGTCGTTGACCTGATCGGCGATCACTTGCCTCTCTGACGGGGATACGCGATAGGGTTTCTGGCGTATCGGTGTAGCATCTCCCGTGTTGATGCGGTGGTGCATACGGGATTCGGGCAACATGGAACAACGCTTGTTTTGAGCGAAATCAAAGACTCCCGCGTAGCGTGTAAGTACCTCCTCAAGGACATTCTGCTCGGAAGAAGGCAACGACTTCTTGATCATACGTTTAATCTCGGCTGAGTAGTTGGGCGCAGTCTGACTGATAGCTGGAGACTCTGAGACCATTCTCACGTCAATTGTGGCCTGCTCCTCGAACGTACCCAGTTTGAATCCGGCTGGTAGAACAACAGGCTCTGAGGCTGCGTTGAGTGCCCACAAGCAAGCATGTCCGTCGATGGCTGTAAGAACAGACCGTGGGACCAGCACATTCTTCTTAATGGCGTTTGCATGATCAGGCTCCACAAGTCCAGTGCAGGGTCCTGAGCGGACATGAGAAGAGCACACGGGTACAAACACTGCTGTCCGACCAGGGATCGTCACATCTTCAGACAACGAAAGAGCATCGATGGGCAGAGTCGGAAAATCGTCAACTATAGCAGCGGGCAACGTACTTTGTAGAAGAATCTCTCCAGTTCCACAGTCAAGCGTAGCGCCGCATTCATGAAGGAGGTCTATCCCTAAAATGATGTCATGAGTTGCGCGAGCCAGTACGGTGAATTCAACTCGAAAATTTCGTCCACCAATTGTGAGTACAACTGAACAAATACCAACAGAGCATAACGTTTCGCCCCCAACTCCACGAAAAGTTTCTTTACGATTCCACGCGAACATAACTTTGTGACCCAAGAAACGATGTTTGAAACGAAGGCTCATAACCGAAACAGCAGCACCAGTGTCTACAAGAGCAAGAGTATCTACACCGTCTATACACACACGCACTTTGTTCAGCAACATCACAGCAGAAGGAGGAATTGGCGAAACTGACCGTCCCGCGACCGCACCTCCGTCGGTCACACCAGTTCGTTTCCCAGCTGATGCGGGGAAGGTGACCGACGACGCGGAGACGGCGACCGGCGGGACCGTGTCGGAGGCGGCGTCAGGCTTCTCTCGGAGGCAGGGGACTCGCTGCGAAATTCGTTAGGCCATTGCTGTCGGGGACGGTGGTCGGCCGAGTGAGAGGTCCCGGTTTCGTGCATACGAGGCGGGTGCGTCGAAAAACGTGGCGGCACAGGCGTTTCGTACATACGAGCCGGATACGTCGAAAAACGTGGCAGTGCAGGCGGCCGTCTGGGACAGAAGCGCGAAATATGCCCTGGGAGACCACATGTGTAGCAAACGGGGACTTGTCGACTTACGTTAGCCGGAGCAGAGGTGGCAGAAGTACGCGGAGACGGGTCGTGCTCCGCAGGAACATTTTGTGATGAAGCATAGTAATCTTCTGGTAGAGGCCTGGTTGACGACGGTCGGGGGTCCGCAGCGGCACGTCGAGATGATGACATCCGGTGGTAGCCACGACCCGTCGGGGAAAACGGAAGCCGCGGGGTAAAATCCGCAGTTTCTGTGCGTGGTCGGTTTTCGACGTGACGCTCTCGCATCCAGTAGGGAGGTGGTTCGGGGCACGCGGCGAACGAGCATTGGTGGTGAACGTCACCTGCTTGAAGTCGTACGAGCTCTTCTCGAACTACCCGACGTACGAGATAGGAAATGTCTTCGCAGGTGGCGACGTCCATACTTGCGACAGTGGGAACATTGTCCAAGCGCCCGAACTTGAGTAAAATTCTTCGGGTCTTCAACGCCTCGAATGCGCGACACTGCTGCCTGAAAATCGAAGGAGTGTTCAAGTTTTCTTTTGTTATCAAAAATTGTACACGTCCTCGGCGATGCCTTTCAACAAATGACCGACTTTGTCTTCGTCAGACATATTTGCGTTGACAATTCCGCAAAGCTTTAACACTTCTTCAATGTAGGTTGTGCACGTCTCGCCGGGCAACTGAGCCCCGCGTGACAGCGTTTGCTCAGCTTTCTTTTTCATGGAACTCGTGTCCCCAAAGCAGGCCTTCAGTTCCTTAACAAATATATCCCAAGTGGGGAGGACATGTTCATGGTTCTCAAACCAAAGCAAGGCTGTCCCAGCAAGGAAGAATACTACGTTCACGAGCTTCGCCGGTGCGCCCCATTCGTAGTAGCGGCTCACTCTCTCGAAGTGTTTTAGCCAAGCGTCCACGTCTTCGCAAGTTTTACCTGAGAAAATTCGTGGCTCAGGTGCCCAGTAGCCTGGTTGTCGAGGTCGACGGCCACCTTGTGCCATGTCGGTGGCACTGGTGGATGCAGCAGCGTAGGACGTCGAAGGGATTGCTGTGTCGTCGTTCATGCTGATGTTGTCCGGAGGTAGGCCAGCTAAGCGTCTGCTTCTTCAAAGAACTTCTGCTGCGGGGTCCAGGATGGCAAGTTACCCAGCACCGCTCCACCAAAGCTGTTACGGATGTGATGGGTTTATTTACAATGAAAAATGTCAGCGCTCTACCGTCACTGCCGAATCACCATCGCTCGAGCCTGTCCGATCTCTTCTTCTTCCTCGCTCTTTCAGTCCGCGTTACAATACATACATACATACATACATACATACATACATACATACATACATACATACTTACATACATACATACATACATACATACATACATACATACATACATACGCACACATACATACATACATACATACATACATACATACATACATACATACATACATACATACATACATACATACATACATACATACATACATACATACATACATACATACATACATACATACATACGCACATACATACATACATACGCACATACATACGCACATACATACGCACATACATACATACATACGCACATACATACACACGCACATACAATACATACATACATACATACATACATACATACATACATACATACATACATACATACATACATACATACATACATACATACATACATACATACATACGCACATACATACATACTGACGCACATACATACGCACATACATACACACGCACATACCTACATACATACATACATACATACATACATACATACATACATACATACATACATACATACATACATACATACATACATACATACATACATACATACATACATACATACATTCTCGTGTAAGCATGTATTCAAATCATCCTGCCCAGGGCCTATCCGCAGTTCTTCCGGCGCGAGAGCCACAGCAAAGTCTCCAACTCCGAGATGTTCGAAACGTGCAACCGCACGTTTCTGCACAATTTCTCGAAGTCGCAACTACGCCGAATCTTCTGTAATTACATGGGCCTTCGGGGCCACACAACGTTCCTTAAGCTCCGCGACATCCTGTCTTCTTGCATAGCCGACTACTTCTTGGTCTGCCCAGCACATCACTTTGCGCGGGCGCTCAGCCGAAAGGTGAGGATAATGTACCTTAATGGTGTCGAATTGGTTTTGCGTAGGTTGCAAGGCATAGGAAGGTTCAAGAAAAAGAAAATTGCCATAGATATGCTTTTAGGTAAAAGTTTCAAAAGAAATTCGTATCAATTCCATCGAAGAGGAAAGTTTCCTAATGGATGAAACATTCTGCCTCATACGGGATTTGAACCCGTAACAAGCACAAACTGGTCTCGGTCGCTCTAAAATCGGAGCGCACCAGGAGGCTCGTAATTCGAGTGCATGGTCAAGTGATAGGTACGTTGGCTACATTTCCTTAAGGTCGCCAACTTCAGCCGTCCATGTCCTTAGTGGTCCATTGTCGGTATTTCTACGGCTACGGTACCATGTCGCAGCCCAATTTTTTTTCTGTGTGTGTGTGTGTGTGTGTGTGCGTGCGTGTGTGTGTGCGTGCGTGCGTGTGTGTGTGTGTGTGTGCGTATGTGTGTCTGTGTGTGTGTGTGTGTGTGTGTGTGTGTGTGTGTGTGTGTGTGTGTGTGTGTGTGTGTGTGTGTGTGTGTGTGTGTCCGTTCGTCCGTTCGTCCGCCCGTCCTCAATGGGAGTCCTCAATGGCATGATGTTGGTGGCTTTACTTGCAGCAACAGCTGGCTGCAAACGTGCCTTGTAGAGCTCTGTGCCATCCAGCGGCACACTTAAACCATTCATTCACTTCGTTCTTCCGGTACACAGCTAACCAGTACTTAGCAAACGCCAAGACGCTTTCGGACAAAGCAGATGCGTCTATTGAAGATCTCTTCATATAACCGCACCGCGTATGTCCACCCTGAACACGTCCATGCTTGCAGGGCGCTGACGTCTACTTCTACCTGTTCGCATACCGCACCAAGAACTCGCTCACGCCGCCGTGGATGGGCGTTGTGCACACGTCCGAGCTTTTCTACTTGTTCGGCGAGCCCTGCTCGACCTCGTGGTACACGGACGAAGAGCGAGCGTTCAGCCGAACAATGGTCGATATCTGGAGCACCTTCGCCAGGACAGGGTACGAATTGAAATACGGGTGATAGTTGGAGATTTAGCTATTGAGCAAGTTGAAGAACAGCCCTCACACCATGCGGACTCCGAAGAAGAGACAGACCACAGCGCTGTCTCGCAGCCTAATGTTTATCGAAAGCAAGTGTGCAGAAACAATTACCCTATACCACCTTCGCATCGATGTGACCACTCTGAAACAAAGGACGACCAAACAGCATCCATATTCTTAGGTTGTAACAGCATCCATATACTTATTCATCCATACACCATCCATATTCTTTTTCTTAGGTTCTAACCGTCTATAGTATTACAGCGCAGCTGTGTTGTAGCATTATTGGGTAACTTCACAACGATGCGACCAACAAAATTTGCACAACGCGTGGTCATTTCAATCCTGCTACGGAGCCATAAATATCCATTCCATAAACGCAAACCTTTCAAAAAGAAACATTTAGCATAGAGGCCCAAAAAGAGAGGTGGAAGTAGGCGGAAACCCTCTGTCTCCTCTCGAATGCGTACAGTTTAGAAACCATTAGTTTATCAGCTGAGGCACTTTACGGCAACAAGACTTTGCAGGTTTTGTAAAAAGGCATGGCATGAAGACGCCACAAGTGTGTGGATGAAAAAGCGCTTGTCCGAGTAAAGCTTTGCGATCAAATTTTCGCCCCCTGCTTGTTCTCGTAGTTATCGGGGCGGCACACTGCTCTCCCATAGTTGAGTACGCAGTACTCGAAATTGTTTAGCACTTTTTTAAGTGCGAAGCTCCTTAAGCCGTGGGTCGTGCGTCCGCGATGTATGCAGTAGTAGCAGTTGTAGTCGTTGTCGTAGTAGTATAGGTACCCACCTCTCGTTTAGTCTTTGGAATGTTCACTGGATGGCGGTACTTCTATTTAATAAATATATAATGAAAAGATGTCAGATGGCGGTACTTGGAGTGTTGACTAGACAGACAGACAGACAGACAGACAGACAGACAGACAGACAGACAGACAGACAGACAGACAGACAGACAGACAGACAGACAGACAGATAGATAGATAGATAGATAGATAGATAGATAGATAGATAGATAGATAGATAGATAGATAGATAGATAGATAGATAGATAGATAGATAGATAGATAGATAGATAGATAGATAGATAGATAGATAGATAGATAGATAGATAGATAGATAGATAGATAGATAGATGCACAAACGCTTCGTCCCACCGATCATCGTTCTCCCCATGAATATGCTGTGATTTTTTTCTAAACACCTAAATTCTGGCCATCCGCATGCAGCTCCGATAAATGATCATGCATAGTTCAATGAATCACTAACATACTTTACCTGAACACAATTTTTAGAGAAGGTAAACTGTATACACTTAAGTTTTCAACAAACAATCGAGCTCAGCGGTGGCGTAGTTGACCGCAGTAATGTGAGGAATCCGCCGGCGTTCACAACCGCTTTCCCAACGCAATGCTAACACATGTACCGCTTAACACGCCCTTAATCTTTTCTTTATAATTTTATAAGATATGCTCAGTAAAGCACGTTTGTGAAGCAATACACCAGTCACTACGACTCCGAGCAGTGTCTGTATAATTTCAGGCAGCCTCCGAAGAACCTGCACTGGCCTAAGTACCTGTGGAGCCGGCCACGTTACCTGCGGCTCCAGCCGCGCAATTTCCTACCCGGCCGTGGCCCCCGTGAAGAATGGTGCAGGCTGTGGCTCAAACCCAGTGAATGAGGCACAGCTCCGGTCAGCGCATCCGGGGGTTACACCGACAAGACGGCGCCGCAAGTACGAACGCTTCCAGCGTCCGTTGAAAATGCACAATGAACGCTGTTCCATAAACGCTTCCAGCGTCTGCCTATTTTGCCAAATTGAGACGTAGCGAAACGGCAACAGCACCGTGAACCCCATAAAGCGTATGTATAAAAACAAGCATATGTCATTGTGTCACTTATAGTAATTTACTCTCCGCAGAAGAACTACTTATGAAAAAATGATCACGTGATGGCGGTGCCCCACGGTGTCACAGTTTGTACATTTTTTTTGTGTGCAAGCAAGAGGCAGCTATGACACCACATTAGGTGGCGTCACGTGATCACATAGTTGCCTGATTAGAGGTAGGCCAATCACGAAGGCCGTGCAAAACCAGATGGCACGAAAACAGTTTGCAATGCCTCCGATCTCAGAGACAGTGCAACGCTCCGATAGGTGCAGAAAGCTTTCGTAGCAGGGTGGGAGAGGATGCATACATTAACTGTGAAGAAAAAGAGCGGATGGCTCTCAAGTTCGATTCGTATGAGGCGAATGCATGAGCAACCTGTAAGTCTTGTCGCTATGACATATGACAACTATGGCAGCTGCATAAACAGCGATGCCAAATGTAGCTTTTCTGTCGTCGGGCAACGAACGTAATCACGTCGCAAGACAGCTTCGCGAAAAAAACAGGTACTAGCGTGGTTGCTCTGCATATCGTTTTTGTTCCTCGTTTATAATCAGCACGCGTAGTTCTCGACAAACGGCGTCCTGCAAAAAAGCAAGCCAACTAGGATATGTAGACCACAGTGCAGGTGGGTGACGACGCTACTTCCCGAGTCAAGATGTAAAAATGTACATCTGGCCGAAGGCTGTTTTGTTCTGCGTGAAAGTCACCGGGTAGTTGTATTTGAGCGCGTCGAGTTCCTCCTAGGCCGATGCGAAGCTGTGGTTGTTCTTTCGTGCTGCGCATGCGTGGAAGAGAAACAATCGAAGGTAAATTCGACGGCAATGAAATTCGAAACAGTCGTAGTGTGAATATAGCATCACACCGGAGTCATTTGCGCAAATCTATTAAGTGTAGCTATACATTACGAAGCACATGATAGTCTTCTTGCTTAGCTTCATTACCTGCAAGATATCTGTGTGGCCTCAATGCGACGTCTTTGCTAGGGTACGGCAAGTGGTACCACGTGAGGCGCTACGGAATGTACGCCCACCGTGGGCGTGGGAACTGTGGCGTGTTGGCCTGTACACCAGTGAAATCTACTTCTAATGCATATTTACCCCCAGAGACAATTCGAAGGAAAGCGTGCCAGGACCGTTCCTTGACGCTTCGTAGACCTAGGACACAGCAAACTCTACTTCCATCTTTCTACCCTTCCACGCTAAAAATCTGGACGGATGACCCACATCGAAGACTGCACTTCATATGACGATGATGATGGCCTAAAGGAATGTTTCTCGGTCACTCTGGGTGATTGGCCAAGAAACAATTATTTAGATAGTGGATCACTAACTTCGTATGAACGAACTTCATCTTTTGCTTACGCACAACATTTGCAGGAAAATATGCAAGGCCAAAGAATGGCTCAAGAAAAAACGGTGTGCGTGAAGTGGCATAGCATTCGTAAACAACTATTTAAAGGATGTACATTAAGTATTAACATAAAGAGAAGTTGAAGCTTTTGTACCTGATCACAGTCGATGAGTTCACGGAGTCCTCCATTTATAATGAATTCAGCAGATCCCACGTACCTTGGAAATCAATGTTATGTGAAGCCTGTGAATGCAAAGTGAATGTGTTTATTTTTTTGCGAGTGAGACGTTATGAAGTGGCACTAATTAGATGTACAAAGTCACGCGCACTTACTTTAGAGGAGCACTGACATCAAATTTACTGATGTCAAGAATTTTGCGTCAACGAGTAGCTATCGACCCCCTAGTAGCGATTCGCGACCTAAAACGCATCTGAAGTACAAATGAATATCTTTAATATTAATTTATATATCTGCTTTTACCTTGGTGCAAAATGGGTCAAAAGCCCACCAAATTGGAGTGCTCGCAGCGCTACCTCGCGGCCACGTCGAGGCCGCTGCATAGCTGATGCTGCTTTCACAAAAAATGGTAACGTCACGCACACTGGCATTTCGTCTGCTAGGAGCGCACGTGCAGACAGTCCTGCTGTGTCCCTGATGATATAGACTAAAGCCCCTGTATGCGTTTTCCGCCGGCTAGTTTAGGTAGCGCCAACTAGTTCTTCCCCTCTCCCTCTAGCCCCTGCCTTGAGAAGGGGCCTGAACACAGCATTTACCCTGGAGCAGCTCGGCGCAATTTGAGGCGAGAAAATGCGGCTGTTCTTCTTAGGCATAGTCTCTCTGACCATCGGTGCGTACGAAGTCAGCCCACTGGCTGCGTTGGATTGGATAAACTTTTATTTGGTCCTCCAAAACACAGATCACTGGGTTGCGGGCAGCTCCCACGTGGGGACTGAGATGCCAAGCTCCTAAGCCGCCTCGAGGGCTCGGTGGACATCCCAAAGCTGATATGCCAAGGATGAGCTGCGGATTGCCGCCTCCCATCTGGCAGAGGTGATGTTCGATATATGAGCAAATCTGGTGCACTGCCAGAGCATGTGTTCTAATAAAGCTATTTCCTCACAATGTGGACAAAGATTACTTGGGTATAGGTCAAGATCCGCCAGGTGGCGTAGGGCGGTGAGGACGTGTTCACATCGCTCTCCGTTTTATGAAACGCTTTCAGGCAAAAATTTCATTCAAGTTTACTTGAAATGTGTGTCATCGTTTTCGTGAAGTTGCGAGGATTCAAAGGACACCAAAATCTGGGACCTGGACCAGCTTCACGAGAAACAATCAACATTTGAAGACACGACGTGCACGAACGTAGCTCACCGCATCACCGGCTTCGGTCGGCGGTTCTGGGGCGCTAAGCCGTGCGGGAGGCGGCGACGGGTGTGTGTGCGTCGACTGGCTCAACACCATTCTACCGAATTTCTCAAACATTTTCTGACCGATCCAGAAGTCGATGGTGAGTCTCATTTAACCTGCCTTTCGGACTATACACCTTGCGCAGGAAAAAACGGAGGTCGGCCATTCCCCTGTATTTACTGAGCATGCATGCATAAGGACGCCTAGAAATTCTTCGTCTAGATGGACGTCGACGAAGACCATCCCGGTGCATCTCTGGTGTCGGAGAATCAACCGAACGACGCGAGTAGCATCCCGTCAAATGAGGAACCAAGTAACGATGCGCGAGCACCCAGCGCCGCGTCTCTCGATAACAAGAACTATGACGACGCGGGTGTGACTCTTACTTGGACGGGGGACGGCTGGCACACCGTCCTTTCCCGCAGATGAAAAAAGAACCATAAACAAAGCCAGAAAGAACCCGAGAAGAGAATAGAGAAGAGAAACGAAAAGTCAGCAGCCCGTCCGCCTGTCGTCGCAGCACTGGACAGCCAAGTCAAGCTGGAGTTCCAGCGCAGAAAACGCCGAGGTCCGACACCCCTTCCAAAGGAAGACATAAAAGTTATCCTGAGGTCACACAAGGGCCTCACAGTGAAAAATCTATTTGGATCGGAGCTCTCTATGGCAGTGATAGAGGCCTGCCGGAACAGCTTTGGAGGAGAAAGTTTTTTGCTGCGGGTCCACCCCGGATCGAACATCATAATATTGTCCACGCCAAACGAACAAGTGGTGGGCAGGCTGAGAGAGATCAACTAATTGAAAATCAGAGGACAGATTCACCCCTTCAATGTGTACGTGGCCGACCCAGAAGACGTGCTGCGAGGCATCGTTCACGGACTACCACCTGGAACCACTCAGGCCGACCTGATGGCAAACCTACGAATACGGACACAAGGGGTGAAGATAGAGAGAGCCAGGATGCTGGGCTCTTCGAAGTCAGCAATAATAACTTTTAAGGGTGACGTGCTCCCCAGGTGTGTATATTTTATGGGTGCAGTGGCGATCTGTTATCCATACAAGCCTACCGTAGAGGTTTGCAAGATTCGTCTGTCAACTGGACACCGAACCGATGTGTGCCTGACTCCGAACGCTAACGTGTGCTCCAAGTGTGGGACGTGTGATCCTACTCAAGGACACGAATGTGCCCTGAACTGAGCCATATGGGGTGCAGAGCACGCTACAGGAGACAAATCGTGCAGAAAGAAACTGAAAAATGTGGCTCCCCAAAAATCACGAGTGGAGATGCCTCGAAGACAAACAGAGTGTACCTACGCCGAGAAGGATTTCCCGCAACTTGAACAACACCAGCAGAAACCTCCTTGTTGGTTCAGCTCAGAACGAGAGGAAGCGACGCTCCAGAAGCGGCAGACATCTAGATCCAGCTCAAGATCACGATCAAGATCGAGATCAACATCAAAGACCCCGCAACAGCGAAACATCAACAAGCCTGCGGAGGCCCCTGGCTAGCCAAACTTGAAGAAAACACCGAGCAGCAGCTGGGAAACAAGCTCCGCCCATGCCAGGAAAGAAGAAGCAGCAGCATCAACCACTGGCCTTAGTACGGAGGACGTACAAAACAACAACCAAATAAGGTGAGCTGGGCGAGTGCAGTGCCTCCCAATGTTCCGGTAAACGATAGCCCCCAGTATAGGAGAATTCCAGAGGAGAACAAAAGATTAACAGAAGAAATAAACAGCTTAGAAATCAAATGGCTGCGGAGCGGAAAGAGTATAAACTGACCATCTCTTCAATAGAAAGCAAATTAGAAAATGCAAATAAGAAAATACAAAACCCAGTGTCGGTAGGCAACCCCACCGAGGGCAATAAAGAGGTGCGAGAGCGTCTAGCCGACGTGAAGGACAGCGCAGAAACGAGCGAGGAAACGATAGACGAAAACTCGTTCCCTACTCAATCAGAAATCAGTGAACTAGTAAAGCAAGTGCAGACGCAGGTTCAAGCAAACAGGGAAAGCATAGCTACTTTACATAAACTTCT